AATTGATGGCTACTAGGGAAGGGAGAGGCCTTTTTCTTCAGGAATGTGGTCGCTGGTAGGTTGTCTGAGCTCAGCTGGATAGTCTCACACCCCTGTGCACACCAGCAGCACTGGATGGATTTAGTAGCTGGATAGTCTCACACCCCTGTGCACACCAGCAGCACTGGATGGATTTAGTAGCTGGATAGTCTCACACCCCTGTGCACACCAGCAGCACTGGATGGATTTAGTAGGCTATTCAAAGAGAAATCGCTGTGAAAGCAGGAGAGGGGTCTGGGGGAGAGAGGACCAAAATATATCTTGTACATGTATGAAATTATCAAAAATAAATGAAAATTAAAATAATAGCTATGTATTCATCAAAACTGTAGGCAAGGAAATGTAGAAGAATTCTTACGTATTGTTGGTGGAAGGCAAAATAATGCCATTAGAGAGCCCTCAAAAACTTAAAAATGGTATTACTGGAGAATCAGAAGTTTCAGTTTTAGGGGAGACACTTGGGGGATTAAAGACAGATAAAGCCACAGATCTCTTTGGGAGGTAGCTTATGATATCTCCTGATAGTTGCATAATGACATTAATGAGGGGTAGGATTTAGAAAAGAAATTAAGGCAACAGGGAAGATGGCTCAGCAGGTAGTGGCGCTTGTGGCCAGACCTGGTAATGTGAGTTCAAACTTCCAGGACTCATGTGGCGTAGAGAGAAAACTGACTCCTTCAGGTTCTTCCTGACCTCAGTATGTATTTCCTGGCAAGCGCATGTGTGTATATGCACATGCTCTCTCTCTCTCTCTCTCTCTCACACACACACACACACACACACACACACACACACACCACACACACACACACAAATGTGAGACAGCCGCTTTAAGAAAAGGATTTCAGTATCTGGGGTGCAAGCATAACACCAGCACTCGGGCTTCCTGAGTTATACCATGGCACCATCTGGGATCCTACTGTCTGGAAAGGATGGGGCTGGGAGTGAAGAGTAAACCACAGCAGAAGCAAGGCCATTTTGGGGTTTTTTTTTCCCCATTATTTATTCAGTGTTGTAATAAACAAGACTTTTCTCAGTTCTTGGTGACTGCGGTTTAAGCCATTGAGAACTCTTGCCTTATATTAGGGTGGCCTGCATTCACTGTAAGACACTGAGGGCAAACTATCTGAAACACACACACACAACTATTTGAAGGCTATGTCCTCAGCTCCATGACTTTCCTGGGCCCGTTGGAAAGCAGACTCAGCCAAAGAGGAAGTATTTTTAGACAAGGGTCCTTCAGAGCTGTAAAAATAGGCCCAGTGAATAGCACACTTGTCAAAGACCCCAGTACTCCAGCCAAAGGACCACGTAACCGTGCCAGGCAGAAGCATGCCAGATTTGTGTACTTTTGCAAACGCATCCTAATATTTGAATCAGGATCTTTGAAGCATAACTTACATGGTAAACCCAAGAGAGAAGCATCAACTGGCACAATACCAGTCTCTTGGCACGCTCAGCACATCTCCAACGAACGTCTCTCGGAACCCTACACCAGGAGGGCTCTACTTCATCAACACCACAGTCTACCCACAAACTCCCAATGTCATAAAATTATCATCATATCCGACTTCTGACTGCTTCCCAATCCTAGCACAATATTCAAAGGCAGACGCTGTTCTCTAACTTCCAGAGGTTCACTGTAGCATGCACGTGTGTGTGCGTGCATGTGTGTGTGTGTGTGTGTGCTATAGTGTCCATGAGAAGATCAGTGTGTGTGTGTGCGTGTGTGCGTGCGTGTGTGCTATAGTGTGTGTGTGCTATAGTGTCCATGAGAAAATCAGTGTGTGTGTGTTTGCATGCAGGCGCTATAGTGTCCATAAAAAGATCAGTGGATAACATTTGGGAGTTAGTTTTCTCCTACCGTGTTTCATACTCCAAACTAGCCGGTCCCGGAGCTTCCTGTCTTCACCTCCCGTCTCACATGGAGGAACGCTGAGATTAGTCACACAGCTTCATCCCGGAGCTACTAGCCAGCTCATCTTTGGATAGTTGAAAAGGACACACATGTTCAAGCACACACACACACACATGCATGCGCACACATGTGCGAGCACACACATATACAAGCACACAAACCACACAAGTTTTGGGGCTTCCTTTGGTGAGATGAATTAACTCCTAATCTCCACAAGCTCAAACTTCTGCCCCCAAAGTGTAAGACACTAAACACACTGAGCCAGAAAAAGTCCCTCAAACACTATTCCCAGGCAGCCCAGTCATTTAATGAAGGGTGTGAGCCTTCTGGACTCTTATAAATATAAAACAGCCGAAGTAAAGCTTCGAAAGGGCTCTTCTCTCAACCTGAGAAACACAGAGCTTTCAACTTCCTCCTTCTTTCTTGACATAGCAAAAGGCAATCTGTCTCCACTCAAAGTTCATTTAATGCTGCGAGCCTCTTTGCCAGCCTAAACATCTGGCTGAAGATTAATCGGCAGTCAGTACCAAATCAGAAGCCTACAAGAGGCAAACACATAAAACAGGTCAATGTTCTTAAATACTAATCTGCAGTCTAAGAGGTTTCCCCCCGCCCCCTTAATTTAAAAACAAACAAACAAATGGAAGGCAATGTAGACACTCTTAGAAAGTACATACGCACTAATGGCCTACGCTCTGGCCAAATGTAGCTCAGCCTGGAACCCCATTTGTCTAAAATTACTTAACCATTTGGTAAATGCATTGGGGGCATAAAAATTTACTTACACCTTTTTTTCCGTATCATTCAGCACAAATTGGAGCACATCAATTAGTCAAAACCAGAAACAGAACTGCCACTGGACTTAAGCTGCTTCACAGAGAATTCGAGAGAAACGGGGGCCAAATGTGATGGGCGGTGGTAACCTAGATGCTAATTAGTGCTTGTACCTCCGTGGCGCCACTCAGGTGGCATAATGAAATGAAAGGCACTGTCCTGCTCAGCAGTCCCTGAGCAAACCGCAGCGCCAGCTGGTATCTGTGTCAGGAAATGAGCAAGATGGAACGGGAAGCAGGGATCAGTGTTGCCGTCTAAACCCAATGAGCCTCCCTCAGCATCAACGCTGAGGAACAAAAGTGGAAATGAGGGACAAAATGGGACAGGATGACTGCACCGACAGCGACGTGTGCGCCAATTCCCTCACTCCTTTTTCATGTTGCTCCAAAGCCAACTTGGCTTTGCATCCTTGGCCTACTCGGGAGAAACTGAAGTGCGGAGATAAAGCAACTTCCACGTTAGCACCATCCTGCGGACCATCCGACTTCCTTTGCTCAACACATCAATTAATAATTAACCACCGCTGGCGCTAGAGGCAAAAAAGATTTATTACCCTGTACCAAAAAATTGTCCACTGTGGATTGGCGTTTTTTTTCCCCCCAAAAGGGGATGGCACACCCTAGAACTGCTTACTACAAGGTCGTGTGTAAGAAATGGACCAGCTAAACCACTGGAAACATAGTAGAGACACTACACAGGAAGGCAGTTTTCCCTGCAGGCCCAGAGCTGTCACCTAAAGCGACCTGGAGGAACTGCTGTTCCTTGTGAAGGCCCGCTATGTAGACTTTGGGTCTTTGTTACTTTTTTTTAATTCAAAAAGTTCTGCCAGGAGGTAGGCAGCTTTTCCTCTTTCCTCTGAAGGCTCCATACATGCTCCCTGGTCCAGCTACTCAAGTATTTAATTCACAGGTCTATGATCCCTAAGCATGTCAATCACTTTCCTTCCTCTCCTCAGGTTCTACCATCTTACCTACGTAATTTTAAGGGTTTCCTGTGCAGGTCCTCAGGTAGGACAACACACTTTTTTGGGGTCAAGGATGGGCGCAGCAGCCACAGAACAGAGCAACCTGCATTTGTACAAAAGCTGTGTAATGCTTTCCAGTTAGTTTATAATCCACAAGTGTTTCTAGGTCCTTCCCTACATTGTTACTGGAGGCATAAACCCCTATTATCTTATTACTAAGATGTTGTTAAACATTTCCTAAAGGATACATTGCTTTTTTGGACCTGGTCTGCCAATCTCCTTCTCCACAGCCTTGAGAAGTTTGGATGGTATACAGGGATATAAGTGCAGACTAGCTAGCTACAGTTTCTCCAGTTCAGTCATGTATTGCAAACAAACAAACAAGCATATTTTAGAAGAAAACTGCAATCAAGTTAACTGACTAACATGTTTAAAGCAAACACGCAAGTATGCATTTGGATACTGACCCTCCCAAATTAAAACTAGGTAAGCATACTACCCTCCATTGCCACAAAACTCAAGCTGCAAAGGCCTAAAAAGGTAAGAATGTAATAGCGAGGACATAGTTCTCCAAGGTGTGTAGAAAGGCAACCATTAACAGAAAAGGTACTGCACGGATTATGGTATCCAAACTGCACTTGATCCTGAACTATCCCTTAGCTGGCACCAGGCCAAGTCCTACAGAAGCCGATCAGAGATTAGGAACTTTCCAGAGCCCTCTGCGTCTATCTCTGTCTCCCACTCACATGGGGTTCAGAGCTGGGCACTCACACAGATTTCTGCAGCCAGGGCACTAGGTCAAAGGTCAAAGCTGCCTGGCCCAGCACCGGGCAGAGTCCCAGAAACTCCACAAACTTCCACTAGGTGACTTTCCAAACTGTTACAAAAGTGAAGGCCAACGAAATGTGGGCGGGGAGGGGCAGGACACTTGGAAACAAAACTGCCCAGACAACAACCGGATAAATATTTTTTAAATAAACAAAATTAAAAGAAATCATCGCAACAGACTCCTGTCTGCGCCCGGGGGTGGGCAAATACTCTGCAACTCTACACACAGAACTTTGCACAACCTATTCCAGCGTGCACGCGTGCAGTAGCGCTCTCCATCGAGCCTTCACCGGCCCGGGGCAGCGTGCACATAAGAATTGGGCCAAAAGCTCTGGATCTGGGACAGGGGCGCATGCCGCGCCTTCTCGGCCGGTTTCGAACGACTTCCAAGACACCCGGGGCGCGCGACCCGCTCACCTGAGCGATGCCCGCCCCCATCAACCCGCCGCCGATGACCGTCACATGCTTGATCAGGATCTTCTTGGCGGCAGCGGCCGCGGAGGAGGAGGACATGGAGCGCACGAATTGCCTGGTCACGAACGCCATGGTGCAGCTGAGCAGCCGAGAACGAGCAGAGAAGACGGCGCAAGAGGCCCTAGCACTTCGCGGGTGAGGGCGGGGAGGTTACGTAGGAGGCGGGGCCTAGTGCGCGCCCCACCCACCAGCTTGACAAACTGCAGGTCCTTCCCGGAGGGCGGAGCCAGGACCCAGGCACAGGCAAAGCTAGAGGCCTCTAGTGGTTGCCGTCGCAACTTTGTGTTCTGATTGAGTTGTGATCCTGAGCATTGCTTAGGGTGAGAAAGGTAAGCGCGGATAGAGAACTCAGGAAAGGAACGCCTGGGAATCGACCAACCTCCTGCCAATCACTGCGCTAGTGACACGGAATTGCTGTTGACTTGACTTCTAGATGTTCATCCGGGGTCCCCCGGGACACTCACCATTCGGAGAAAAGCCATTCCCTCCCCCCATCACACACACACCCTAGAAGAAATCCTGTGTTAATCCTGTGTGAACTGAAGCTCCCTGGAAAAGCCTCATCTGTGTCTTACATTCTGCAGAACAGAACTGACTTCTTGTCTGGGGAGAGATGGAGTGTTGGGGGTAGGGTCAAAGTTCTCCCCAGCTGTTTATAGTTACCCACTTCTAAGTTACATACAACCTTAGAAATGTGTTGCTCAGCAAGTCTCTCACTTCCACCAGTCCAACACTAAGATAGTGGTTTTTGTTTGTTTGCTTGTTTTAAGCGTTAAAAAAAAACAAAAACAAAAAAAAACAGGAAACAGAGTTTGTTGCTCTGCCACAACCTCTCTGGCCAGGGTCTGCACCAACGTTCTTGGTAAACCTATGAAGTTATGACCTTATTCATCCTAAGGTCATAGCTAAGTTTAGATAACCTTTTTTTTGCAGTGAAGCTTGTCTTCAGAACTGCTTCCACGCCTGTTCCCTGCCGCGGGCTCTTTCACGTAGCTGCAAAGAATCTTTCATGCATTCCCTTGGAGCAAGGGCTGTGTTTTGCGTTGACCCTTTCAATCTTATTTTTATATTTAATTCTTCAAAATAAGCCAAGACCATTGAGTGCTGCATTCCAGCGAAATCAAAAACTTACGGGACCAGAAACAGAAGTGCAAGGCTACCGTCAGAACCCGCACAGCTGGAAAAATGAGTAAGTTTATGAAGAAAGAACGAAACATGAAGCGGCAGTGTGAGAAAGGAAGCGAGAAGGAAGGGGAGGGCTCTATGGGTAGACGGACTGGAGGAAGCTTGTGGAGCTGGGTCTCAACTTAGTTTTCATTTACAAGTCTTAGCCAATGAAAGCCAATTATAATCCAAGTCTGGTGCTATGACAATGTAGTTTTCCCTTCCTTCCTTCCTTCCTTTCATTCATTCTTTCTTTCTTCCTTCTCTCTTCTCTTCAGTGTATGTCTGTGCTCTATGTGCATGCAATATGCAAGGGAGTCAGAAAAGGGCATCAGATCCCTTAAATCAAGAGTTACAGGCTGTTGTGAGCCACCATCTGGGTGCTGAGAATCTGACTCAGCTCCTCTGGACGAGCAGTCAGGGCTCTTAACCACTGAGCCATCTCTCCCGTCCTACAGTTCATTCACAGATGATATTTGTGTTATAATACCACGTGGACCTCATGCCTGACATATGGCCCGTTTCAGATCTCTGTTTGCTTTTTCTTAGGAAAAAAAGATAAATGTGTCTTAGTCCATTTGTGCAGCTAGAAGAAAAACCCCCAAATTTCTCCTGGGACCAAGAAAACTCCTAGTCAGAATATTATCAAATTCTATGTCTAATGCGGACCCACTTTGGGCTCAAGGATGGTTCCTTGCAACCTCAGATGGTTGAAGGGGCTGACATTGACTCTTGATGGTCAAGTTGAAGGAATCTAGAAGCAACTACTAAGAGGAACCCCTCTGGAAGGGTCTGTGGGGGCATTTCCAAGAAGGGTTACTGAAGGGAGATGACCTCCCGAGTGGACAGCACCTTGGACGGGTGGGGGTGAGGTGCACACTAGATATAAAGAGATCTGAGAAAAAATTAGAATGTTTGCCTGCCTGCCTGCCTGCCTGCCTATTCCCCCTGCTGGCGAATGCCTCTTTCCAGCAGAGCTGCTGTGGGCATCCTTCCCTGTCGTTAGAACCACTGAACAACTCTCAAGCCCCAACTGGTCTAATCAATCCCATCTCATGACGTGTGCTACTGTCACTTCCGGCCCTCTAGAGCGGTGGTTCTCAACTTGTGGGTCACTACCCCTTCTGGTTCCAAAAATATTTACATTATGATTCATAACAGTAGCAAAATTGCAGTTATGAAGTAGCAATGAAAAAAAATTATGTTTGGGAGATCACCACAACATGAAGAACTGTATTGAAGGGTCCCAGCATTAGGAAGGTTGAGGGCCACTGCTCTAAAGGGAGCTAGCTCTCTGGAGCTCTTTTCTAACACCAACCCAGTCATCTCACAAAGACCCTTGACCAGTGCTCCTCCATTAGGTTTCAGTATGGGAATCAGAAGAGGTCGCAAACACTACGGCAGCATCCCCGATGATTCTCAAGGCCAAGGCCATCTACCATAACAAATGTGCCGTGTGGAGCAAAGAGGGCTGGGAGGGCAAGGCCAGCCTGGGCTACATGGCAAGACCCCGTCTCAAAAAACACCCCCTCTCCAATGGCACAAAGGAAAGGACAGCCGCGGGGCTGATTCTGGAGTCCTGCACCTGGCACCAGGGGGCCACATGACCCGCGATCACAGGCTCTCCCTTTGTGTTGATTTTATCCATCAAGAGAAACGGTCTGAGAAAACAAACAAACAAACAAACAAAAACCTTTCATCAATTTTACACTGAACTCCATCCAGTTTAGTCTTGAGGCACAAGATCACCTCTGGCCTCTTCTTCCTCAGTGCCAGCCAGAGGGCAGTTACAATGGAATCATTCTTTGCTACCATAGCCAACCTTTTCTCAAGTGTGACCTGGAGCATTTGAGAACATGATAGTGATTTCTGTAGACCTTCACTTGCTTCTTCTTCTGAATGGTAGTGGGATTGTCCTTCCTTTCTCTCTGCAGAAAGAGTGAGGCTCTAGTCCTGGCAAACAGGACCGTGGTTTTGCTTTGTCAAAGGAAGGACCTGGCACAGATAAATAGGTAAATGACAGTGGCTTCTATGTTGGTGCGGTGATGGATAATTGTAGTACTTCGAACATGGTTAGCAAAGCAGCATGGTTTGGGGCTGGGGAGATGGCTCTTGGGAAATTGTTAGCTACACAAGCATGAGGACCTAAGTTCATCTTACATAGGATCCCTCCCACCTATGTAACAATCTAGGTGTGACAGTGTGTGCCCATAATCTTAGCCTGGGGAGAGGCAGAGACAGGAGGACCCCAGGAACTCAATGGGCCATTAGTCCAGTCAACTGGTGAGCTCCAGCTTCGGTGAGAGATGGTATCACTGAGTAAAGCAGAGAATGTGACAGGGAGCATTATTCTGCATCGAGCTGTGGCCCCCTAATGTATACACGTGGGTGTGGCTTCTCATACATCCCGTGGGCATACCCACATACACCCCCATACACACAAAGGCAGCATTATCTGTCAGCATGCCCAGTGGGCTCAGAGAATAGCAAAAGCAGGTAGTAGGCCCAGTGCCTACCAAAGTGGTGATGGCTGGGCAGAGAGAGCTGGGCAGACAGCCCTCCCTTGGCACATACACAGACGGGCAGGATTTGGCAACAACCAAGAGCACTGATAGTTGTGGCGGGGAGATTCACTGAACAAGTTGTAATTTTCCTTTGGTTTATGGAAGGTTAATATCCTCTGGCTTCTGGGGAGTGAATAGGAATTATACTGTCATTCTTGTTGGATGAGTTTTAGGTTTCCTCTATCAGGAACTAAAGAGGTGTGGCTCCTTGGAGTGGCACAGCAGCCAAGCCCAGGACAGCCAATCACAAGTTCACTTACTGAAGAACCCACAATGAATGACATTGCCCGAGATTTCATGGACATAAATTAATGGTTTGCATGGTCAAGGGGCGTAATCAGTTTGAGGTCATAGCCCTCTGTTTGCACATCCCAAAGAAAACATTCTTCGTACGACAGACAGGTCAGTCAGATTTCGAAGAACACTACCGAATATTTTTACAAGTATTTCTTCAACATGACTGACTTCAAATAGGTGTCTCAAATTTTCTTATGCCAGCTGTTGCCCTTGAGTCAGCCACTTGGAAAACCTTTCTCTCCATCCCAAAGCACAGTGGCATTTATTTCCAACTTGCAAGTTAAAATTAAAGTCCAAAACGTCTAAAATATTGTTCTTTGGGGAACAAAGTGATTTAATAATAATATTTAAAAAAAAACACTTGAAGTGAATGTTTACAGAAAATGCTGGGTCAGCAAACAAAATGACATGTGTGGTTAGGTCGATGCAGTCTGGATTAAACGTTTCAGGCCCTTGCGTATCTCACTTGGGTATGTGGCTGTGGATTTGTACATCAGGATTTTCCTATTCTACAGCAAGTGGGACATCCGAATTGCTGAGAATGGGCTGGCTGCTCTCAGCCAGCTATCTCTAGCACATTTGCTCGAGAAGATACAAATCACCAAGTAGGCCAGCAAGAATGGTGCAATGTGAATTCTTTATGACCCAAAGGGGAAAGGACCTGTGGACTGTGCCTTCGCAAATGAAACTCTGAATTTGTTTTCTTAGGATCAAGTTTTATGCTTCTAAAGTGAACCATTAACTCAGTCTTTTGAACTACAGCAATAACTAAATAGCCATCTTTCTGAGCGATTTTTATTGACTTTCATTTTTCAACCTTTATTTTGTGTGTGCAGACATACCATGGCTCACACTTGGAGATCTTGTGACAACTTACAGAAGCTGGTTCTCTCCAGGATCAGCTATGATCAGCCATTTAGGAGAGATGAAACTCCAGGATCAAGCTCAGGGTGTCAGGTTTGATAACAAGACTCTCTACCCTCGGACTCATCTTGCTGGCCCTTGAGCAATTTCTACATTCTCCCGTATGTTAAATGGTTGTGCACGGAAGCAACCAACACATATTCAGCCCTTTAATATGTTTGCCATTGTTCTAGGTGCTTCAGGTGAGCTAATTTATTAAATCTTCGCGAAAATCCCATGTGGTAGAGTTCTTTAATACACAGGGAAGCTGAAGCCTGGATAAAGGAATTTAGCCACTACTGAACAGAAAATAGCGGAATTCAAACCCTGGATAGTCTGTTTTCAGGGCTCATGTGCTGGATCTCTGTGCCGAGAGCAATCAGTGATGAACAGTGACAGTCCTCAGGGATTTCATGCTTTCCTCTAAAAGTGAAGAAATCACTCTAAAGCCGATAACAATCTCGCCTAATATCAACCAGGCTCAGGGCAGAACATATTCTGAGTCAAGGTCCCATGCTTCTTATAACCTCATACTTTTTAGAAAGCGCCCTCGTTTCTCAGTGGTAAATGGGCAGACAGCAGTCAGTGTTTTATATATAGGGAGAACATCATATATGTGGACAGGGCTATACATGTGGAGAGCACCATGCATGTGGAGATAGCTAAACATGTGGAAAGCATTATTCATGTGTAGAGTGTTATACATGTGGAGATCATCATATATGTGAAGGACATTATTCATGTGGAGAGCATGATTCACGTGAGAACAGCATATATGTGAAAACACTTTACATGTTCTGGCTGGTGGTTTGAAAGAAAATGACCCCCAAAGGGAGGGGCACTATTAGGAAGTATGGCCTTGTTGGAATAGGTCTAACTTTGTTGGAGGAAGTGTGTCACTGTGGAGGCGGGCTTTGAGATCTTATATATGTTCAAGCCATGCCCTGGGAGACAGTTCACTTCCTGTTGCCTGCAAGATGTAGAACTTTCAGCTACCACTCCGAGACCATGTCTGCATGCATGCTGCCATGTCCCACCATGATGAGAAAGGACTGAACCTCTAAAACCACAAACTGCCACTTCAATTAAAAGTTTTCCTTTACAAGAGTTTCCGTGGTCATGGTGTCTCTTCATATAAATAGAAACGCTAAGACAGAAGTTGGTACAGGGACTGGGGTATTGCTGTGATAGGCCTGACTATGTTTTTATTTGGAGGAATTTGGACTTTGGGTTAGGAAAGCAGTAGAATATTTTAAATGTGTTTAATGGGTCATCCTAGTAGAAACAGTAGTCTGAGAATGATTTGAACTATTGTGGCCTAGCTCAAGATGTTTCAGAGAAGAAGAATGTTAGTATGTGGCCTAGAAACTGCTCTTGTGATACTTTGGTAAAGAATGTGGCTGTTTTTTGCCCTTGTTTGAAAAGTCTTCTGAGGAAGAATTTTGAATTAATTCCATTGGCAAAGGAAATCTCCAGACAGTCTAGTATTGACTTTGTTGTATGGTTGTTAGTGGTTACTCTTATACAGATTTATAATGAAAAGCAAGCTAAGCAAGTAAAAATACAAAATGTACAGATTGTGGACTAATAGGGCACCAGAAAGTGGAATGGAGCTCAGCCCAGTGTTGAAGGAGATAAACAGATTAAGAAATGGAACAAAGGGAGAGGTGACCTCAGGGCAAGATCCCACCCAGCTAAGCTTCCAATTTGTGAAAAGGAATTAAAGAAAGCTTAGAGCCAGGTGTGGCGATGCACACACACCACACACATGCACACACAAACATACACCTCTAATTCAGATGCACTATTATTAGGCGTATATTGTGTTGTTTGTGTTCGGAGACAGGGTCTCACTGTCTTGAAGTTGGGATCCTCCTGCTTCGGTCTCCCAAGTGCTGGGATGGCAGCTTTGTGCCCCCACAATCCTTTAGTTGCCAACTTTCACCTCTTATCTGTTTGGAGTCATATACTAGCTGAAATATTTGAGACGGAGTAATATACATGGTTCTGTATTATAAATTCTTCTGTATATCTTTCTTACAAATGGTGTGATTTGGTCATGTAACCACAGCACAGTCTTCAACTTTTACAAATTTCAATTTGATTCTTTTCTTTCTAATCGATTATGTGCTCTCCAATTTACTTCATTAAATCAACCGTGTTCCTCAGAGATTCTTTTCTGTTTTTAGTGAGTTTGGGGTCAGGTGTTGCATTTCGTTTTTCTCTCACAGCATGCCGGCTAGCTTGCCCTGTGGGAAGAGGTCCCAGAGAAAAACAGGCAGAAGTCACAGTGTTTTTGTGACCTAGCTTCTAAAGTTCCACACCGTCATTTCCACAGCAACCCAGTGTTTACACTGGTTCATACTGACCAGCCCGGGAGGAAAATGCTTGAAGGGTCATCAGGGTCACCCCTCCTGGGATCTGGCTGCTGCATTATCCCAAGGTCATAGAGATCTCTTTCTAAGACTGACTGCTATGTGCATAACGTAACAGTGTCCCTTTGTCAGACATTAGGGGTCCTTAGGTGCTAGGTCTGTGAATTAGTCCTTTTCTCTGAGCTAACTACACACTGTCTTGCTCACACAGATGTGCCTTGAGTTTGGGTACATGACATGATTTTGTGTGTGTGGATAATTTTGATTTTTGACTATGTCTTGGCGAAGTGCACTGATTGCCACTCAGTCCTGACCCCAGTGATCAGGTTTCATTGGTCTTAAGTGGATCATCGCCATCTATGTCTCTATCAAATGCCCAATGTGACTCTAAAATCCTTTAGGGTTGAGAACCATGATCTAGTTGGGCTCTAGTCTGTGATATATAGGGGATCAAGGCCCAAAGGAAGGACATGCATGCTAAAGTTCCGCAGAAAGACAACGGCAGGTGTAGTGCCCCTCCACAGACACCTTTACCAGCTTAGTCTTCCCCACCCTCTGTGTCCCTGAACATGTCAATGCAGAAACTTCTCAACTCGCTACATCTAGGACCTGCAGAGAGGTAGTTATAGTAGTGGGGGTCAGTTTATTATCCATCAGTGAGTTCAACCCAGATGTTTCGCGGGAATCTGTGAGAGACAGAGCAGTCCAAATGTCTTTCCTAGTCCCCGACAGAAGAGGGACTCAAGGCCTAAAGAGAGCAGGGACTCAGTCCGTCAGTGCTGGCGCCCACCTTTAATCCCAGGCAGAGACAGGCGAATTTCAGTGAGTTAGAGGCCAGCCTGGTCTACAGAGCGAGTTCCAGGACAGCCACGACTCTTACACAAAGAAATCTTATATCAAAAAACCAAGAGAGAGAGCGGGACTGGGATCTGAAGTAGCTCTCATCTGGCCTCCCCATCCCCCTCTGCGCATTCCCACAGGGCTTTACCTGCCTCGTGCTGTGCTGCCAGCCAGCTTCGTGATCCAGCTTGTCTGTGCTGACCTTCGTGCACCATGCTGGTGTTTTCCTGCTATTCCATCTCTCGTCAACAAGGCAGAGGGAACACACTGCAAATGCAACCCAGTAGCTCTGAACCCATCCCAGAAATTCTTTCCTTGCCAATGGAGATTTTGCCTTCAGATTTTTAACGGAGAGAATTTTGTTCACGAGGGAGCAACCGAGAGCTTCTTCTCAAGGCGTGGGTGGGGGAGGGAGACATATTTCCTTAGAATTCCTAAGGGGTGGGGCCATGGAGGGCGTGGGGGTACTGTTTATTTTCACTCTATGTAGGAGACACATGTTCACATGCTTTATGTGGGTATGAGTATGGGCACATGTGTGTCATGTGGAAGTCAGAGACTAACTTGTGGGAGTTAGTTCTCTCCTTCCACCACGGAGAGTCCCAGGGACCAAATTCAGGTGGCTTGGCTTGACAGCAAGCACCTTTGCCCACTGAGGCATCGTGCCAGCCCATATTATACACATACTCTTATTAATCAAAATTTTCTTCCCCACCCTTATAAAATGAATACTGATTACCGTCCCCCCACCCCTGCACCCTCTGTCTATCCATCCCACTTTCTTACAAATCTTTCTCACATTTCGATTCGGTTTGTTTTGCAGAGCGCCAAGTTTCTCGAGGACTGTCTATGTGATCAGGCGCTTTGAGCAAGTCTATCGGAGCCTGTTGGGATTAGCAGTGGGTGCACAACTGAAAACAAAGGCTCTCCCTTTCCCAGAACCTATCAGAGGCCAGCAGTTCAACAGTAAGGAGGGTGGGCCAGGAGCCTTTCTCCATCCATGCCTGATTGTTGATGCAGTAGTGGGAGCCGGCCTAGCCCAAGTCACCACAGCTGCTGCGAGCCACGCCCACATGGGTATTGGCTTTCACAGTTGGCTTGAGATGGCCCTCTGTGAGCTGTGACTATGTTTAGTTGGGCCTATAACAGAGCTATAGGGGAACAGAGCTAGGCAGGGAAAACTAAACAGAATGCTGGGAGAAAGGAAGTGGAGTCAGAGAGAAGCCATGTAGCCCTGCCGGAGCCAGACAGAACTTTAGCCTGCAAGTCACAGCCACAGCCACAGCCATGTGGGGATACACTGATTAATAGAAATGGGTTAAATTAATATGTAAGAGTTAGCCAATAAGAAGCTAGAGCTAATGGGCCAAGCAGTGTTTTAAATAATATAGTTTCTGTGTGATTATTTCAGTTCTGGGCACCTGGGACAAACAAGCGGGCCTCCTCCTACACCTCTGTCGGGGTCTTTTTTCTTAAATGTCCTCAAACTCACCTTTCTCCTCCTATAGTTAAAGTGGGTCTTTCCAACTGCAATTAGTCCAATCTAGAACTTCCCTCACAGACATGGCTGGAGAATTGTCTCCTAGGCGATTCTCGATCCTGCCAAGTAGACAATCACTATTAACACGTCATAATACACTACAGGTTACTATGAACCATAGTTATCGTACTGTATAGAATTTTCCAGCTGATTCTCCTGGGGAACTGTATTTTGGTATCCACCGGCCAATTCCCCACTATCCCCATTCATAGCCGTTCACACTCCAGTGATTACTATGTGCTTTTGTCTTCGAGTAATTTGTGTGTATGTGTGTGTGGGTTGGTGTGTGTGGTGTGTAATTTGCTTGTGTGGTGCATATGTGTGGGCATGCGGTAGATGTGTACACATGACAGGTATATATATGTATATATCTATATGCAAGTATATGTGCTATGTGTGTATGTGTGTGGTGTATGTATATGTTCTTGGGAGTATATGTATGTGGGCTGTCTGTGTGGATGTGGTGGTTATGTGCACATAGTATGTGTATGTATGTGTGTGACAGTCAACGTTGGGTGTCTTCTTCAATTGCTGTTCACTTCATATTTTGAGACAACATCTCCCTTTCATTCTGTTCTGTTTTGTTTTTTATAAAGGATTGTGTGCAACTTAGCCATCCCCTCACTGATGTCAGTAGTGAGAAACTGCCAGGGCCTGCCAGGGCCTGCCAGAAAACTGGCAAAAAATTTTTTCTCTGCCTCTCCAACAGTGAGATTATACACATTATACACGCCTCAATTTTTTTTTCTTTTTTTAGCTTTTTGAGACAGGGTTTCTCTGTGTAGCTTTGGAGCCTGTCCTGGAACTTGCTCTGTAGACCAGGCTGGCCTCAAACTCACAGAGATCCACCAGCCTCTGCCTCCCGAGTGCTGGGAATAAAGGCGCGCGCCACCACTGTCTGGCTCTCTCATTTTTTTTTAAAATGTGGTGCTAGGGATCTGAACCCAGGTACTAACACTTGCATTAGCAAGCACTTTACCAAATGAGCCATCTTCAAACTCCCACTGCGGTAACTTTAAGTATATTATCCAGTTATTTTGTTATTATTATTACTGTAGGGAGGAGGGTAAATGCTGTCACCACCATGCCATAGTATGTATGTGGAGATCACGAGATAACTGTGGGGAGTTGGTTTCTCCTTCTGAGAGAGCCAGTGATTGAATTCAGGTCCCCAGGTTTGACAGGGAGTGCTGAGCCATCTGCTGGCTCCTGAGGTAACGTTTTAATTTCAACATATGACTGAGAACAAGAGGTATTGGTCCTGCTGTTTGTATGTCTGGTTTACTTAATACAGTGTCTCACACTGTAAGCCAGCCTGGCCTGGACTCACAGCAATCCTTCTGCCTCAGCCTCCTGAGTCTTGTGATTGTAGACAAGAGCCATCATGACTGACTTGCAAGTATCACATTGTTTAGACTGCTAAAGCTGTAAGCAGACTTTCATGGACTACCAATCCCCAAATAATAGCAAAGAAACTTATTAATTGTGAAAGTTTGGTCTTCAATTTAAGCTTGTTCCCAACTGGCTCTTATAACTTACATTAACCTGTTAGACTACATTCTGCCGCATGGCTCTTTGTCTTTTCTTTCCTCCACAATGTATGTCCAACTCCCTCAGTGTCTCACTGGTGTCTCCTGCCCACCTCAGAATCTTCTACAGGTTCTCTTTCTCCCCAGAAGTCCTGCCTATTCTCTCCTGTCTAGCTATTGGCCACTCAGTTCTTTATTAAACCAAGCAGAAGGTGCCTTTCATACAGGGTGATCAAATTATCCTTCAACAAAAAGCATCATCATATATTTTGAAAGCAGGAAGTATGAAGACACTAGTTTTTTGTTGTTGTTTTGTCAAAATGTTCTTTGTATAATTAGGATCTTTTAAGGTTCCATATAGATTCTTATCTATATTTGTAAAGGATTTCATTAGGAATTGGGTAAACTCTGCAGATCACCTTGAGTAGTATAGGCATTTTAATAATAGTAATTTTTCCAGTTTATGGACATGGGGTGTCTTTGCATTTCTCTCTGTATCTCCTTTCATTTCTATTATTATTTTATTTTATAATTTATGAGTATGGCATATACATCTTGAGCTTGTCTTAAATTTTCTCCTGAATATTTCATTTTGTTGTTGTTGTTGTTGTTACAAATGGAATTTTCATAATTTTTATTTTTGGATAATTTGTAGTTCCTGTATAAAAACACTGATTTCTGTGTGGCTATGTATACTGCACCATTATTGAACATGTTTATTCTAACAGCTTTTATGATGGATTGCTAGGATTTCCAACGTGTGTGGTCATGAGTGTACACTGAAGAATCTTTTGCCTCTTCCTTTTCAGCCTGTATCTTTTTTCATTTCTTTTCTTTTTCTTACTATTTCTGGATAAGCCTTGGAATGGGCCACCGTTGAGGCACAGGGCTGGGCAATGTTGCCTTGTACCAGATATTAAAGAACAAGCCTTCAAGCAGGTTTGCCTTGTACCGAATGATGAAGAACAAACCTTCAGCTTTCCTGCATTGATTGTGATGTTAGCTGTGTTCTACATGGATGGCTTTTACTGTGGTGGGCTAAGTTTCTTCTGTACCTATTTTTGGAGCCCGAAATTATTATTGTTTTAGTGCTTTATATTTGCTTACGTAACTTCTTTCTTTTAAAGGATACATCAAACAACACCAGGATGAACTTGTTAAGTTTTCCCCAGTGACAGATAATAGACTAAGAAAAACGAAGTGCTATGATTCTGAACAAAAGAATTTTAACTTAACCTAGGCTTAGCATCTCATCAGAACCGAAGCATGGAGGTAACCATCACTTCACGGATTCTGTAAAGAGACAATATAGATAACACGTGTTATGTTTCCCTGCACCAAGTATGGTAAAACAAAGTGATAATTGTAGAAATGTAGGCCAGTGGTATTTCCTTGCAACTAGCATGTACAAAGCCCTCTGTTCAATTCCCAATCCCTAGCATAGGAATGCTATAACATAGCATAGAGGGAGAAGAGGGAGTGAGAGAGAGGGAAGAAGGCAGAGAGACAGAGAAGAGGAGGAGACATGAGGAGGAGGGGAGGAGGAGGAGGAGAGGTGGAGGAGGAGGATTGTTTTTCTCTCCCTGGATAGTGAGCTGGATGGCAAGCGTGATCTAAGTTAGAAAGTATTACTTGGAGCAACTGCCTTTTAAAAGAAAGTCACTTACCAAAATATCTACAGACCATCAAGGCCTAAGGATATTCTCTATGTTAATTATGAACATATATTCTATATTAATTATTCTCTATATTAATTATGTGTCAAGAGTTTACTTGACACATATTGCACACTCGGGACTCTGGATTCATTCTGGGCTAAGAAAAATAAGGTTTGGTCAAGGAGGACCCTCTGAAAAATATCCAATGGGAATGGATGTCTCAGATGATACAATGTTTCAGAACACCCCTGTAGCAGTTTCCTCTGAGTTCTATATCCACAACAGCTTCAAGACTGCTGGCTGAGATGATCCAGCCTCACAGAATACTCCAGTCAGGACTTAATCATACTGTTAAGTTTTCTTTGGGTCCCCATAAGATTATCTGCACCCTCAATCAGCAGGAAGTAGCCTAAAGAACTATATCCCCATTCCCCTAAAATGGATTCTAGATGCTTGTCTTTGTTTAGAATGTTGGTTACAAGTTGTTATGGATAATGTTCAGGAAAAAAGCTAAACGAAGGAGATTAGATTCAGAGTTCTTTTTTTGAAAAGAAAAAAAGGGGAAATGCTGTGGAATAATGCTCTTGTACACTGTAAAGACCTGTCACTCATAATGGTTTAATAAAACACTGATTGGATAGTAACCAGGCAGGAAGTATGGGCAGGGAAACCAAACGAGGAGAATTCTGGGAAGAGGAAAGGCAGAGACCCAGTCGTCATCCAGAAGCAGAGGAAGCAAGATGGGAATGTTTTGCTAAGAAAAGGGACCAAGCCACATGGCTAAACATAAATAAGAATTATGGGTTAATTTATGTTTTAAGAGGTAGTTAATAATAAGCCCACACAATAGGCCAGACAGTTTATAACTAATATAAGCCTGTGTGTTTATTTGGAAGTGAATGGCTGTAGGGCTGGGTGGGACAGAAACTTCCGCCTACACAGCATTATAGATGTGCATATACCATTCATCTCAATCAACAGACACGGCGATCTTGCTGAGATCACTCGCTAACCTCTAGAGACACACACCAGAAATTTGCCACAACAGGTTTACACAAGACACAGCCTTCTCTAATCTGTGGAGGGGTTTGGTGTGAGACATAAGAAAATTTGGCTCAGCAGTTAAAAGTACTTGTTGCTCTTACAAGGGAGCCAGGTTCAGTTCCCAGCACCCACATGGCAGCTCACAAATGTCTGTAACCCCAGTCCCAGGGGATGGCATCTTCTCGCCCCCATGGACACTAAGCATGTGTGTGGTGCACAGGTGCACATCAGGCAAAACATTCACACACATCAAATAAATCACAGAAAATGTGTTTTGCCTGGACACCTCTCTATACCAGGTCCTCTGAGGGTATATTTTAAGATAAGTTACCCTCCTGTCTAAAGGCTAGGTTTGTACTACATTGTGCCCCCTCCACCTTGAGGTCTGTTTCCTCTTCCTTTTTGACTAAAATTTGGTAAAAACAACAAAAATTGCTAAGCAACGAAAAATAAGTAAACACAAACTAGACATGACATTGTGTCCATTAAATTAAAGGTTTAATAAGAGCAACATCAAAGATGAGGTCCAGACCTTGTTAGGCCCTGAAAACTAATGAAAGTCATTTTCACATTTCAGATGAAACATGAAGCGCGTAAAATATCGGCAGCTGGGGAAAAGCTCAGCCCATCTGTGGAGAGGTGTATAACGGGATTTTCAGAGTGCTACAGCTTGAGGCATGGTATTAAACTGCTCGATAAATGCAGGACTCTGACGTCTTCTCATAGAAGGCAGACGTCTTTTTCAAGTACGATATGAAGTCTTTGGTTAGGAGGTCCAGAAATTCACGAGTGGAGGAGTAAGGACCTTACGAGTGTCAGACCAGGACACGCTATCCTGGTCAAGGTGCAGCGTGCCCACCCAGGCGCCATCTTACCCATATGGTGTGCAGCCTCACTCTGTCCCTCCGCACTCAGTGCGCTGACCTAAAACAGTCTTCAGGGCACCTAAGATTAGACTGCACTTCCTGCATCTATTTTGAGAGTGCTTATAACTTACAAAAGGGAAAACATTACGGTGGATAATATAAAGAATGAGGAATCAAAAATTAATCAATACTCGGTTATACAATATTCCACCTTTTCCTTTTTACTCCGCAGCTGGTATTTCCCCCTCGGTAAGCGTTTGGGGGTCTGCCTGGGTACCTGGGCAAGAAGGCTATGGGAAGATGCTGGAAACTTTCATTCTGTATTAGGTTTTGGCAGGTAAGGCATCGTTCTACATTTGCCTAACATGGTTACTTCAAATGATACAAAAAGCCTAGTAAATTTTTAAATACTGGCTTAAACAGGTAAGGCAAATTATACTGCATTTTAAAACTATCCTAAAGACAGCAATAAACACAGAGATGGGCTCTCCCCTCAAGCACCTTCCCTAACTCACTCCCAAGTTGCCTAGGCGTCTGCCAAGAATAAGGCACATGGAGGAGGAGGCAGCAGTGTGGAGCCTGGTCCCAGGGGGGTCCACTGGGATGAAGAGGGACATGGTCACTGAGGACGCAGCTTCAGGACCGTGGGGGGTCAATACTGAGAAAGGCTCAGAAAGTGCTTTCCAGTCACAGGGCCAAGTGTCTTAGAGACCAGTGAGGGTGTTTTGTAATCACGGGCCTTAGCACTGCAAAGCCTCAGCTCCCTTGGCATGAGGATCGCACACAAAGAAACGCTCCCATCTTCACGGTTCCTTCCACAGTGCTGTGGGAGACCCGAGGGAAGGGCTAGACTCCGGCACACGGAGCTGCACACTGTTTACTGTAACGGATGGCTTTGCCACTGCTCATCCTTACCCCTGGCAGCAGAAGGCCCACAGTCATCCACATTGTCATAAAGCCGTTCCCACATTTTCTTGCAGCCCCTGGAAGGGTCATTAGAGGGCCCCATGAAGAAATGGCTTCTTATCTTGGAGAGTATTCAAGTTAGTCACACTATGGCTGGTAACACAACAGGAGAGGAGGGTTCAGAATCATTTGACTGAGACATTGCTCCTGACCAGTCCCACAATTACATGACTCAGTTTCCCAGCCCAGCATCCAGAGCCCAGGCCAAGGTGGAGCTGCACGGCTGCTGGGCAAAGGGGACCTGGGCTGTACACCAGGCTCTCAGCTTCTGTGCTTACAGACAGCGGACACAAGGGTAGACAATGACATCAAGAGAATGTTTCTTTTTCCTCAACATAGCGGGCAAGGGGACATTTCATCCTAGCTCTATAAAAAGTAAAGAACCCAGCCCTAAACCCAAAAGATCCTCATAAGACAAGCCCAAGGAAACTGACATAGACCCTACGCTTAAAAAAAAAAAAAATAAAAATTTAAAAGAAAAACTTCTACCTCAATATAACCTAGGCCTGTACCCCTTTCTGACCAAGTGTCCATGCTGAACACACTTCCATGTCAGGGCCCTGAAAGGTCTGAAGGCAGATCTACTCCTGAAGTGTCCAGCATCTGCTAATAGCAGAGAGGCCACGAGAAAGTTCATTACCCTCATTTTACCACGGGATGACGGAGGCCGAGATGAGGTCTGCTCCCAATGGAATCTGCACAACCAAACCCATCATCCGTGCGTCCCAGTGGGAAGGAGGCATCCATGGTGTGGCACGCCCGGCCGCCCCCCCCCCCCCCCAACACCCAGGGCTCTCGTCTAGAGCCTCTCTTGGCTGTGCTGAGTCGCTGGGCCCACACGCAACAGCACAGAAGACTGTCTAGGACACGGATTTGGCTGTTGTCCCCTCCTCTCTTCTCAGGGGCACCTTCATCTCTTTGAGACGGTTACATTAAACGGATGGGGGGCTAGTGTCAGACCGAATCTTCCAGTCATGATGGGCTTCTCAGAACCCGCGGGTAGGGCAAAGGTGAAGTTCTGCATCAGGCTCACGAACATCAGGAACAATTCCATCTTTGCCAGCTGCTCTCCCATACACACCCGCTTCCCTGTAAGTGACATCAGAGAAGGGGCGGTTATTATACAGCCCTGTGCATTTGTAGCAGGTCTCTGACCTGAGACTGTGGAGTTTTAAAGTAAAATTGCCACATAAACCAGTCTCCTTCAGTTTATCTACCCACATAGCCGTTCACCACTGTGCTCCTAGCCACGGATCCCACGCGGGAGTCACCCTGCCGCCCACCTTCCCTGTCACCTGGAGGACTAAGAGGGAAATCAGACCAAAGTTTCTAGAACCTTTCATTTCCACAGAAAGGACTTGTGTGCGTCAATCCAGGAACCTAAAGAAAGACCTGAGGGTAGAGAAACTGGGACCTGTTTGTTCTCAGGCCTATGACATGGGAGAGGCACTTGCTGACACCGGAGCCCTGACACCCAAGACCTGACAACCCGAATTCAATTCCTGAAGCCCCCATAGTGGGAGAGAGCTATTTCGAGTTGTCCTTTGGTGTGTGCTGGGACATTTGTCTCCCTCCCCACCGCAGGCACACACACACGCATGCACGCATGTACACACACACACACACACACACACACACACACACACACACATGATGATGAAGTTAAAAACCAAGGTTTAACTGACCTATCCCAAAAGGAATGAAAGTTTCTCTTTTCAGAAGTTGTCCCTGGTCATCCAGAAATCGATCAGGACAGAAGTCGTCTGGCTTCTCCCAAACGGCTGGGTCTCTGTGCACTGACCACAGGTTGGGAATGACCACCGTGCCTTTAGGGATGGTGTATCCTCGGAGGACTGCAGAGGACAAACACAAAGTCAGAGCCACGCTCTCGCTTCATTTCCTTCAACATCACGGTTTCAAGAGTGAAACTATTTATCGACTTAACACTGTAATCGTCAGAGACCAAATTCTGAGGTTCTTGAGGTGAGACAGATCTTATCAACCAGCACGTTCTCTCTGTCTGAGATGGGAGGGGTGGGGCTAGGTGCTGAATCAAGTCAGGCCCTATGAGCCAAGTCAGACCATAAAAACTTACAATCAAGAAAAAACACTAATAGGACATTCAGGTAAGCTTTCCCCATGATTTATATACTCTTAAGATCCACTCAGAATGTGTCTGAATCAGGGTCGCTATTACCAGAATGTAATATAGTATGACCAAAGCAACCTGCGGGTCGAGACCCCTGGGGGGGGGTGTCAAACGATCCTTTCACAGGGGTTGCCTAAGACCATCAGAAATATCAGACTTTACGATTCATAACAGTAGCAAATTACAGTTATGATGTAGCAATGAAAATAATTTTACGGCTGAGGTCACTACAACATGAGGAACTGTAATGAAGGGTCACCGCATGAGGAAGGTTGGGAACCTCTGCCCTCCAGGCTTGCCTACAGCCCGATATTCTGGAAGCATTTTTTAAATTCAGGTTGCTTCCTCTCAGATGACCTTAGCTTGTGTCAGGCTGACAGAAAACTACGCAGCACAGGGTGGAAGAGCTTACAGGCGTTTCTGGGCACACGACATGATGGCGAAGGTACCTATGAAAAAAGATCTGCAGGCAGCTCAACTCCCACGATCGCCAGCTGCAGGCCGACCAAGACCCCACAGGGGCTGAGTACTGCACTGGGTCTAATTTACCTTCTGGGTTCTCTCAAGAAGCCTTAAACTCTGCCCTCCCCATCAACCTGTCTCTGTCTCTCTGAAACAGAGCTGCCCCTGAAGTCCCAACTAACCTGCTGCAGCCTCCCCGGGACTACAGGTGTGTGGTGCCCTTCGTTATAATGGGGAGGGTCAGACTGGGACATTTTGGTTTTTAAGTAAGTACACTTTGGTTGCAGAATTTTGACAAACAAAGTGAGCTAATTTGGGAACGAGTAGAGGGGCCAGTGTCAACTCCAGAGTGGCTTCTGCCCAAACAGCCGAAGTAAAGGATGACATTACGTTTTGCTAGTGCAAGTGTGCGTGCACCCGAGGTGGGGAGGGGCTCCTGGTAATGACTGCAGTCCCTGCACCCATGATGACAGTTAAGGGTCACGACAATCTCTGGATCTTCCAGCCTGAGACACAGAGCTGGTTCAGCTGTGAGCACACCCCTCCCCACATTCTGCAGGCCCTCAGGGATATGCAGAGAAGGCAGGCTCCTAACTTGCCTGTTTTCTCCGAAGTCATATGAGGAATGGCGAGGGGCACCGCCATGGACAGCCTCTGCACCTCCATGATGGTGGCTTCTGTGTATGGCATCTGGGCCTTGTCTGTGAGGGAAGGAAGGCGGTCACAACCAATGACCCTTTCAATTTCTTCATGGACCTTTTCTATGCAAAAAGAAAAAGAACAGAGCACAGATAAGCCTAGGAGACCCGAGTCAGCACTGTTAGGCGAACTTTGCCCAGCAAGGGATCAGTGGCCAATGATGACCTCATTCAGGACTAGGAGGGACAAGAAGCCACTGGGGGTGGGGCATGCAGAACAGAGTGGGCAAAAGAAACAGCATTCTGGACTCAGAGGCACCCAGAACTAAACTCTCACGTGACCATGTGACTCTCTAAGCTGTTACAGCATGTGAAAGTCCAAAATATACAAGGAGCCCTACCCGTGGGTCTGCCGTAGCTGAGGGCATCCCGCAAAAGCCTGTGGTTGCAGGTCTGTTCCCCACAGTGGTCTCATTATGAGGGAGGACCTCCTGGGAGGATTTAGGTCCAGGGGGTGTGCCCTTGAAGAGACTGGTGCAACCCTGGAACTTCCTTCCTTGTCTTCTGCATCTGCCCAGAGGAAAGTCCCCTCCACAGTGCACTGCCTTACCACAGTCCCCCTGGCAACCGAGTCAACAGCCCACAGACTGAATCCTCGGAAACCACAAGCCGAAATATGTCTCTCTTGTCAGCTGATTAGCAACCCCACTTGGTTGCAGCACTGAAAAGCTGGCTAACATGGGTTCACACATGTGCACTCCTTACCAACCTGGACTCTGGAGACTCAAGAGCTTTATATAATAACAAAGCCATTGTCTTAAGCAACTAAGTTTGGGAAGAAGCTGTTGCTTAGCAATAGCTAGTTAAAATAGGGAGTCACGATGACTATGGCAGGAAAAAAAAATGGACCCTTGAAGAAGTTCACAACTCCGCCTCCTGGGGCTTTGACACCTTCCACGGTGTCTTGGTCCCTTTTCAGGCTCTGTAACAGAACACTTGGAGTTGGGTGCTTCATAAAGGAACACTGAGCTCACAGTTCTGGAAGATCCAAGCCCAAGAACACCAGCCCCCTCTGGTTACTGGCAGTTAGCATGCCGAGAGCATGTGCAAGGAAGTGGCCATAGCAACTAGGAATCCCGAGGGACTCAGGGGCCAAGGCTGCTCCTTTTGTAATTACCCGCTCTCACGGGAACTAACTAGGGTCCCGTAAGAACTACATTAGCTTGCTGGAGGATGCAAGAGAAGGCAAGGGGAAAGGATTCGGCCGTGCTTTTTCAGTTCTACCTTCATATACTTGACTCCTCAAAAACCTTGGTCTCCAGGCTGAGCTTCCTCAAGCTCCTACCTCGCTCTAGGGACCTCAAGGTTCTACCTCCTCAGTATGACACCACTGAGGACCAAACTTCTAGCACATAAACCTCCGTGGATACATAAAATCATAGCCCACTGATAGCACATAGCAGAAGGGAGTAGACTGACCCAACTAAATTAAAGATGTAAACACGGAGAACACATCCTGAGCTATAAATCCCCATCCAAGTACAGCCATACTCCATGGAATAATACTTCAGTCAATCACAGACCAGATACACAAGTGTGGTCCTATAAGGTTATATTGCCAGGTGACACTATGGTGACCTTAGTTTAAGTGTACTCTGTGATGGCTGCGTCATCCCCTAATGCCATAGTCTCAGAACACGAACCCATTACTAAGTAGCACGGGTTTTAAAATCAGGCAAATTTAAGTCAGAGGGAGATGTGAACCTGGAAGCAAGGTCAGAGCGCTGCGGCTTTGGGGGCTCTGAAGACAAAGAGGACCACAAGTCAAACAAGCTGGAAAGAGCAAGGGAATGAATTTCCCTCTAGGGCCTCCAGAGGGCAACACAGCCTGGCCAACACCCTCGTCTTTAGTCCGGGGAAGCGCACACCATATTTCTGACATAACTTAGAACAAATGCAGGTGTGTTCGGGTGACTAGGTTTGTAGTGACAGCTGAAGTAGAAACCAACACACCAAGCTCCCCTACTCATCCAGGATTTACTGCCAACTGCCACTGCCACTGCCACCTGCTGTCCCTGGGCAGATGTGGGAGGACCAGCTGTGACTTTCACTGACTTTTTTGGGCTTGTGTTGTCCATTTTCAAAGCAAGCTGAAAAGGCGCAGATGACCATGAATACTAGCTTAGCCCTACAACACCCCACGTCTCCAATGCTCCTTCACTTTCAGGGATTTCACGGGGAAAATGGACTATGGAGATTGAGGCGGGGGGTGAGCGAGCCACGGCACTAGTCTGTCTAGAAACCCGAGCCTTCACTGTTCACGTCTTAAGCTCCCTATAAAACGCAAGTGCATATTTTGTTTCCCAGCCTGGGAACATGAGGGCCCGAAGCCAGCAGATCACAGAGGTTGTTGCTACCTGGTTTAAATTACCTGCCTTTACCCTGAGGAAAGAACAAATCTATCAATTACTTTGCACGTCCGGGTTCACTGACATATACAGCAGGCACCAAAGCAAAGAGTTGGTGGTAGTGTCCGTGCCGGCCACGAAGAGGTCCCCGATGATGTAGAACAGGTAATCCTCATCGAAGCTAGTGCCGCTGCTGTTTCTCCGCTCCTCCTCCATGTGCAGAAGGTACATGTCTATGAAGTCCTGGGGGTTGCTGGCATCCAGAGACTCCTGGTGCTCTTTGATGATGTTTTTAAGGAAGCAGGTGATGTCCCTTTCAATCTGCCTTAGTTCCTTCCATGGCCCAAAGGGAAGGTAGTAAAACCAGGAACATATGTTGATCAGGAAGATCTGGCCGTGAAAGCAGATTTCTAACCCTCGAGACATGAAATCCAGCACCTTCTTAAACTCCTTGTTTGTGTAGTCGAAGCGCTGGCCGAAGCACAGGGAACAGATGATGTTAGAGACGGCATTGCTGATGATGGGGAAGGGGCTGAAGGGGGCGTCTCCGTGTTTTTGCATTTCCTCTTTTACATACTTGAACTCCTCAATAATCCTGGGCTCCAGGCTAAGCTTTCCCAAACCAAAATGACGGAGCGTCGAGTGGGAGAATTTCCTCTGCTGTTTCCAGATGGCGCCGTAGTGTGCGAACACAATTCCTGCCAAGGATAGAGGGGAAGGTGAGAGCCAGGCCTGCGAAGGGTGAGCAGGACCTGTTGCGGGGTGTATTCTGTATTTCCAAGTCTCTTGGCCAAAGTTCATATGCGGACAAAGACAACTGATCAGGTTTCATTCTAAAGACATTTGTTTCCAATAAACGCTGAGTTTACTAAATTAGGGTCACTGGCTAAAAAGTTGTTATTTATTGTAACTTCTGTAAAATGAAAAGCAATGAGTTTTTATGCCTAAAATTACTGTGCATTTATATATCATTTTCTATGTCACAAGAGAAGATTCAGGCTTAGAAAACCTTCCAAACCAAAAGCACCCATACTCGCAGCAGGCTCTCTTTTGTACCACCAACCAGCTCCCAAATCATGACACGGAGACATGCTGTTGGTTACGGATGCTCAGCCTTATCTTAGGCTTGTCCCGCTAGCTCTTAGAACTCACCTTAACCTGTTTCTCTTCATCTACATTTTGCTTTGGGGCTTTTTACCTTTCTTTCACTCTGTATGTCCTATGCCATGTTTGGCTGGCTGGAGGCTGCCTGGTTGGCTGGCCCCAGGCACCCCTGTTCTCCTCTCCTCCTCTCTTCTTTCCTTTCCATGATGTCCTTCATCATCTTAGCCTGAGTTCCTTCCTGTGAGGAACAGATGAAGTCCTGAACAAATGTGCGTTGCTGACGTGAGCATGGCCATGCTAAGGACTCCAAGGCCTCAGACTAAGGGACAGTAAAGCCCTGAAACGGTACCACAAGCTAGGATCAAGTGTTGAAACACGTGAGCCCATGGGGGACAGTCCACATTCAAACCAACACCATGTTCTGAGTCCTTAGCATGTGGTGTGCTGTAGATGGAATGCCGACCTGGTTCTGGTGTTGAGTTCTTAACGTGCCTCTATAACGTGTCTCTGAAGAGTTCTGGTTCATCTCAGTAGTACAGTGCAGAACTGCCATGCACAGAGCCCTGGGTTCAATCCCCAGCAACGGGAAAAGAGAAGCATTTCAATATAAACATCTATGTAGACAAATGCATGGTTGAATATGGACATCCTCCAAATTTAGCAGACATCACTAAGGGTAAATTGATGAGCCATAAAATATGGATATCTTCACATGAATAGACACTGTCATATGACCGCTCTAAGGAGATTCAGAATGGAGTAAAAGTACATCTACAAGGCTATGAATATCTGTGTTAAGCAGTTGCTATCACTTGATCCTTGCAATTTCTTGTTTTTTGCCACTAGAGGGCTGAAATGTATCTCCTGTGATTTCATTCACATTTCTGTGACTGTGGGCTTTTTAGTTCACAATTCACAATTATACTGTGTGAATATTTTCTTACTATATATTTTAAATGCATAGTTAACCTTCATGTGATTTTTTGATAAGCATAAGCTTTAAATTTAAAGATACTATGTGTAAATTTTTTTAAAAAATTATCTATTGTGTGTGTGTGTGTGCGTGTGTGCCATGTCTCTATGTAGATGCCCACGGAAGCCAGAGAGGGCACGGATTCCAGGAAGCTGAAGTTACAGGTGGCTGTGAACTACCTGACACAGATGCTGGATCTGAACCCAGGATCTCTGAAAGAGCAGGAAATGCTCCTATCCACTGAGCCATCTCTCCAGTCCACATGTATACATTTTTTTAAAGATAGGAAATTAGCCAGAGAGAAATCGAGGGAGTTGGATGTACAAAATGGAGAGGTAACAAGTCATGAGGCAGAATATAAAAGGGTTAATTTAAGTTACAAAAGCTAGTTGGGAACAAGACCAAGCTAAATAAGCTTTCATTATTTTTTTAAAGAGTATCACTTAAACTTACACTAGTCTTGAAGTTGTGAAAATCCTCCTGCCTCAATCTCCCAACTTAGAGACTATAGGTGTGTGTCACTGTGCCTGCCTAACAACCTTTTCCTTGTGCTCTGTGTTTTGTTTTAAAAACCCCTTCCTATCAGCAATTCAGAAATACATCCTCTTCTTCTTATAAAATTATAAAACTTTGACTTTGAGAACAGACTTGCTTTTTAAAGATGTGTTTTTATTTTATGTCTATGCACACTCTGACTGAATGTATGCTTGTACACCATGTGTGTGCCTAGTGTCTACTGAGACCAGAAGAGGGTGTTGGAGTCACTGACGGCTCTGAGCTGCCCTGTGGGTGCTGGGAACAGAACCCACGTCCTCTGGAAGAGTAGCAAGTGCTCTGAAGCACTGAGCCGTTTCTCTGGTGCCCAGATTTTGATTGTCTTGTCTAATTTTCTGTAATTTACCTATAAGTGAGGAATAAATACAAGTATGTTTTTCTGTACAGACTGGGGGGAGTAACTTGTGTAGTCAGGTGTATGAGGAGACCAGAGGACGCCTTGAGTCCCCTCTCCTGTCACTCTCGGCCGTAGTTCATGGACTCTCTCACTGCGTCTGGAACTCATCACTAGGTTGGTAGCCTGCTGTGGGATATTTGAACGCACTGTGTAAAATCCACCTTCTGACTGGTTTAATATAGAGATGAATGGCCAACAGCTAGGCAGGACTTGTGGAGAGAAACAGGAACTCTGGGAGGAATCTGAGGCACAGGGAATTAGTCAGAGAGAAGTCGAGGGAGTTGGATGTACAAAATGGAGAGGTAACAAGTCATGAGGCAGAATATAAAAGGGTTAATTTAAGTTACAAAAGCTAGTTGGGAACAAGACCAAGCTAAATAAGCTTTCATAATTAATAAGAAGTTCTTCAGTCACTTGAGGACTGACAGTCCAAAAAAAAAATCCGGCTACAATAGTCATAAAGCCAAAGTGATTCTCCTGTCTCAGCATTGGGAACACAATTCCGAACACTGTGGCCTATGGCTATAAAGTCAGTGAGCTGCCACCAAAATTGGATGAGCGGTGTAGAGAACATTGGAGGGCCAAGCCAAGATACATTGCTTTGTCTTCCTTCATGAGTGGCCAAATTACCTGGGTATTCTTGATCTAAACTTCATCCAGAGTAGACTTCTAAAGACTGCTGTCTTAATCTAGAAGCATCTTGCACAGTGGCTGTCATAAGCCCTTCCTCTTGAACCCATGTCTAGCCAAGAGGCCAACAAGATGCAGAGTAACCAGAGTATTCACCTTCTGTCTCCTGCAGAGGCTGGAGCGGTCTTAGGAACGAGAACTAAGTCCACTTTCTACAGCACTCAAATTCTGCCTGTCTTAGCCCAGTGCTCACTTCTGTCTCCTTGGATTAAAGGTGCCTCCAATTCCAGAGCCTTCCTGAGGCTCCATGCGGGGTGGGGGTGGGGGGGTCCACAGGAAAGTTAGGAATCAAGGTGAGGGCAGGGATGTCAAAGTGTGAAATCACATACCACCCACCATGAAGAAAAGCGCTGGCTTTACTCTGTACTTCAGCGTCTAAAGACAGAATACAGGATTGGCAGGTAGCATCTCAGTGTCTGCAGAGGGAGATACACATGGAGTTTGGGAACGAAGTAGAAACCATGGGGCATAGTCTTGAAATATCCACTGCCTCTCCCCTAATAGTCTTTTAAATTTAATCTCAAGCAAGATCTTAAGACGTGTACAGACAGCAGCCATGTTCTTTGCGAAAATATTAGAGACGCTATGAAGCAACAAATCCTGTTCAACGGGCTCCTAGGTTGACTTCTGAACTTTGTTTTCTTTTTTGTTTGTTTTGTTTTTCAAGATAAGGTTTTTCTGTGGAACTGCCCAGGCTGTTTTGGAACTTGTTTTATAAACCAGGCTGGCCTTGAACACACTGAGATCCGCCTACCTCTGCCTCCCAAGTGCTGGAATTAAAGATGTGCGTACCCACCGCCTGGCTGGCTTCTGGACTTTCTTAAGGGAAAATATCTTGTTATAGTTTTGCGACTGAAAGTCACTGGATGGAGGGGCCTTGAAGTCGGTTCAAGACACCCCAAGACCAAGTTCTCAGCACAAAGGAAGACTTATTCACCCCAAAGGGACCGGAGATAGATGAAGAGGGAGAAAGGGGGAAGGAAGAAGGGAAGGGCTATTTGTGGGAGAGTGATAAAGGAGTGTCTCTGGATAGAGAGGAGGAAGATTTGGCCTGTAGGTAAATGGCAGTGTATACAGGTAAAAGGAAAAACCCAGTGTTAGGATGAGCTGGTTAATTTTGATTGGGCATATTAATTAAGGTGGCCAAAGGGGCTTTTGATTGCTGACCTTCAATACTTTGATAGCTGGAACTTGGTTGACAGCTGGAACTTGGTAGACAGCCTCAGGAGAAGAAAGGGGCCAAATTAAAAAACGGTCCTTGGTGGCTAGCTTTAGGAATATAATCTAACAGTTCTTAGGACGGCAGAGGGAATTGGGCAGAAGGTAAGGTTTGCCAGAGCCATAGTTGTCATGCTGGGCTAACTAGAGTCCCTTCACTGGGTGAAAAGAATTTTCTTTTCCCTTTTCTAATAGGGCCAAAGTTTAAGAATGTTGGGGTCACAGACTTATGAGTGAGGAGGCCTCATATGGGAGAGATGACTCCCAGGAGGGTGGTCTCTAATTCCATACTTTGGTATCCCCCTCCCCACGCCCCCATTCCTAACTTTCCCGTGGGTCTCCCACTTTTACCTCGCACTAGAAACCACGTCTGCAGCACACACGCGCGAACACACACACACACACACACACATCGCACGGCTCAGGGCAGGACGCAGGTGGTCACCTGCTGCCCCAGGTCCGCAGCCCGCGGCATGCTCACCCTTCTCTTTGGTCATGATGGAGATGAGCGGCATCCGCGGGCGGTCACTGAACACTTCAGCCTGCTGCACTAGCGCCTCGCGCACGCTGTGGAAGTCGCTGAGAACCACCATCAGATGGTGACCCATGAACAAGCTGAAGACGTTGCCGTAGACGCCCGCCAGCTTGGCCAGGCGCACGTGCCAGCCCACGGTGTCGGTCTGGCCGCCCTGGCCCAGCCAGAACTGCAGCCGCAGGAAGCGGGGCATCAGCAAGTGTCCCATGTTACCCACGAGTGGCCGGGGTACGGGCCCCGGAGGGATGCCGCATGCGCGCTGCCGCCGCAGCCAGACCCAGCCCAGCAGCAGTGCCAGTCCGCAAAGCAGCAGCGCGCTTCCCGCCGCCCGCAAGTGCAGCCCAGCTTCCGGCGGCTCCCCAGCCACGGGATGCGTAACCTCGGGCGAGGACATACTCTAAGTGCGGGTGGAGCAGACGCTACCGGCAGCGAGGCTCTAAGGTCAGGGGCGGGTAGGGCGAGTCGAGCTCTTCGAATTGGTTGAGCCGCGTGCCCCTCTCCACTTCGTCCAATCAGCTTCTCCAACGTTGAGTAGGGGCGGGGCCGTCCTCCCGGACAGCTGGTAGAGGGCGGTGGGTGGAGGGGTAACTTGCTTAGCCGTCCTGAACGTGTGTTGTTGTTTGTTTGTTTGTCACGTCAGTGTAGCACGCTAGCAGTTACAGGATCCTCCGGGGAGTGAGCGCTTTTTGTGGATTTCTGCGTGTGACTTGATTTTATCAAAACATTCACAGGTTGGGAAGCTTTATCCTTGGCATTAGACTAGACCTGAGACGCTAAGTTCATAATAAAAAAAAATGTGATTTACAGATATTCCAACACCACGGTCCTTCACTCTGCTCTGGTGACGGCCCTGAGTGCTTTGCCTTTCTGTTATTTACAGGCCTGATTGCTGTGGTTTCTCTTGGTTAGGTTGAGCCTAGAATTCAAGGTTGAATCAATTTTTATTTCTATGTTGATGCCGAGAACTCGCAGGGTAGACCAGTTGGCCTCGAATTCAGAGAGCCACCTGCCTCTGCCTCCAGAATTTGGGTATTAGAGGCTTACGATACCGATACCATGCCTGGCCCAGGTGGAGCCTGTTGTCAAGGTCTTCGTTTTGTGATGCTGGGGATTAAATCCTAGGCTTAGCTTTTGCTAGGGAAGTGCTCCATCTTTGATCCACATCTCTGGATCCTATGTAAGATCGATTCAATTTTGATCTCTCTCTCTCTCTCTCTCTCTCTCTCTCTCTCTCTCTCTCTCTCT